CCCTCACATTTTCATTGCTCATTTTTCTCCCGGCAAGAGGAATACATTGAGTGTCAGTGGAATTTAGATCGAATAATTACACCAAGGACCCGCTGGCACGATGTGAATGCGAACCACCGTACTCCGGTGAGAATGCGATTTCTTGCCGAAGTGATCTCAACCCACCAAATGGCACCTATCCTTTCCCAGCGCTCGGATTTAGGGATCACGGGTCCACTGATATGAAGGTGAAGTTTGGTTTAGACCTTACCGAATCGTATGGAATTTGAAAGGAAGAGGTTCAGGTAACGAACTCAAAATTGATGGAATCGCTGTCGTTCACGGCCATCGCTGGACCAACATACGATCCGACACCCGTGTTCGACTGGACGAACTCACCGCTCGGAGAAATTGTGCCGCACTACGGGCAACCAGATCGATGGGCGTAAGTATTCGTAGCTTTATTCTAGTGGATAATAGTGTTCTTCTCGCGTTCTGCTTTGGCACGTGCTTGTGAGGAGATCTCTGCTAGTTGTGCGCTATTTGCAGCGCGAGACGGAAATCTGGTAGCATATTTCCAAATTTTGAACGCTACCTCTGCGCACAGCGATGAAATAGAGTAGAGTGCCTACTTCATGGGTGCCTCTGGGATGCGCCATGTCTGAATAGCTTCCTTACATCGAATTATTTGGTTGTGTACTAGACCTTTTCAGTGATTAGCGGGGAAGTTCCAGTTGTCAGTTATAAAGGCCCACCTCACGATGAGTTCAGGTGGGTCAAACCCTTTGCTGGGTAGGGTAGGGCTGCCCACGAAGTCGCAAATCTCCCATTTTTCCGGTTCGAAAATGCACAACAAGGGCGGTCGAGCTTTTTGTGACTGCATCAACCGCTTCCTCTGTTTTCACTTCGCAGCGGTCTGGGTCTCCGTTCGCTCTCGTCGGCCATGCTCGCGCGTGTCCTCTTTTCCGCGCTCAGTCTTTCCTTCTCAGCATAGCCTTACTTACCAAGTAGAGAAGCTCCTTGATTCCAAGGTTCTTGGTGGTCCTTTTCTCCTTAACTGCGGGTTCACTTCAAACTTTTGCTTTCATTTTATTCTGCAAATACCGCATAATTTTATTCGCCTTTGTGCCATTTCTCTCGATTCTTTAGTAGAAAATTACAAGGATTGTAGCATGATATCAACGTTGGCTGACATGTTACGATTTTTCCGAGCTTTCAGCTTCGAGCCGGTAACACATCGATGGTCACATTCGCTTTATGGTGTCCAGACGTTCCCTGATGACAACGAACAAGACTTTTCTTAGATAACTTCTATTCACTGTTTCTTGTGAAGTTTTTGCAGCTATGGTGGTGCTACATTTGTCACCTTATTTATTTTTCAAAATTCTTACATAGAAAGTGAGTAATTTGAATCAGCTTGTTCATTTGCATATTTTGTTGAAGTTTTTCAAAAATCACCCAAAGTAAAGTGAAACTGCGGCGCAGTATTGTCAGTGTTATATGGAGCCAGAAATTCATTATTGCAAAAATAAGCCGGTCATGCGGTCAGGTGGTGACAGTTGTCGGTCCATCAGACCACTTTTCACTCGTGGAAGATCTCACTTGCTTCTCCTGCAGACCTGGGGCCGTGTGTGGAAGTACCAGGCAGGGGATGTGTCCCCAAAACTTTGCGTCCCTACTGTGGTCAATGACGCAGTTTTCATAATGAAGAACAGGGAGATCCGTCCAGTGATTCAACACTTTGGAGACCCATCCCCGGCCGGGTTCTACTGCACGCGGGTGCTGATATGCAGTAGAACCAGGCCGGGGATGAGACCCCAAAATCTGGAAGCGTTCAATATCACAGCTCCTTGTTCAACTCCTAAGCCCTTCACTCTCATTCCCTTTGATCCAGGTGTGTGCTATTTCGCTACGTTGCGCTTCCAAACTGCGGTCACACTCGGCGACGGACAAGCGATAAAGCGATCGCGTCGCTCCATCGCTTGCGTCCTGACTCTGTTGCCATGCAATTCCTCAACGCACGCACGCAACAAAAGTGTGTACCGTGGTGACCTAACGACACACACTTCTTAAAGAAAGGCGCTTGTTACAAAACGTTTAGCAACTAGTCAAACGTGGATTTGGCGAATTAAGCAGATGTTGCACCTTCGAAAGCTAACATTGAATGCGGTAGTGCGATTGTGACACCGCATTTGGACAGTGGTGAGCCTTCTGCATCACATACCCACATGCGTGGCTTACCCACTCAGCTGCTGCTCCTTCACGGTCGACATGAACTTGTCCAGAATAGGTAAACTCAATCAGAATATACTACTTTGAGGAACTTTCGATCACATCCACATGGAGCTCCCAACAAAATCTCACCTGTTTTCCCTTTCGCATCATTCAATAGTCGCGGGGTATACCTTCTATATTCGTTCAGTCATTCATGCTATATCTACTGAGAACAGGTTTTGTATTCTTTGAAGGTTAGCAGCCTTACCGTATGATGGCAATCCTTTGAAGTGAATCAAATTGGCATATTTAAATAGCATATTTCTACTCGTTTTCGAGAGCACCCGTGGGTGTGCTCTTCGAACTTTCAACCACGTCAAACTAACTGAATCATTACAACAGCAGGTAGAACAAATGGAATAAGATTAACAATGAGAGATGCAAAAAGCTCCCCAGTAGGCGGAATAGTAGACGCTAACGTCTCTGAATAAGTACGTGATATGTTTCACAGATTCAATAATAATTTTACCGTATCTACGCAATCAGCAAATCACTTCAGTGGGCGGACGACAACCACCTCTGACAGATGTATCCTCACTTATAGGCAGATGTTGGACGTTGAAAGAACAACTACTAGATGTTCGGGTGGTGATCACTCCTTTTTGGGAGGGACACCACGCAGTCCAGTTCCACTCAGAACCAGAAGGCCGATGTCAAACTTTGCGAATCGCGCGATTCGCTACTAGCGATTCGCGCGATTCGCTACTAGCGATTCGCGCGATTCGCTAGCGTCCGCGGTCGCGTTGCGGTACCAGCCAATTGAGTGATTCACTGGCCGCGACGCGACCGCAGACGCTAGCGAATCGCGCGATTCGCAAAGTCTGACATCGGCCTAAGGACGATTTGACCTTCAATGGCTAGCAGAACTAGGCTAGTATACAAATCAGCGCTTTTCCTCACAGAAATGTTTGCTGTAAATCGCCCAGCCCCAGGTGGCTTCGATGTTTTGGACCCGTGAGATCCAGGATCGTGGGCGCACTAAGCCCCGAACACCTGTAAGCACTTCAGCCATTAGGTGATCATTACGTCAACGGACTGTTTGTTGGACGTTTTAGAAAACCAGAAACTCAGAAATGAGCAGAAAACAATACCCTGTCATATAGTGAAGCGAAATAGAATTATAAAAATAATGTAAATGTAAAAAACAGGGCGGAGGTGATGTGATGGCTGTTTTGGCGCCACTTTCAACCCGCTGGTCTGATATCTCGAATGTTGACCACGAAGCCAAAGTGTTCATATTTCTAGTTTGGCCAATTGAAATCAGATTTTTCTGGGAGAGCAAAAATACTGGCTTATATATACATCGACTGGCTTCCGCAAATCGCTGTACAGCTCAAATCGCGATCAAATGCTTCTGCAATCCCTAATGTAGGTAGAAAATGCATGGATGCCAGGGATTGATAAGCGCCAAATGCTCTCCTCGTGGGTATCCGACAAGAGGCCCGTCGCGCGTCTAGAAGCAGGAGTCGCACCGCCTATTGTGCGATGTGGGGCTTACTGCTGCAACTCGTCTGCTAGTACGTCTTCTTTTTTTCGTCGTGCGTTCTTCGGCAATTCCTTTTGTCATGAATAGAGCCTGCAATTTTATGAAAGTTTTGAAATTCTTCAATTTCACGTCGAACCATCAAGCCTTGCCAGCATGGAGGATTGGCTCATGTTTATGAGGAAGAGCTGCTAGGTTAAATTTTCGGCCACATGAATTACGTGCACGTTATGGTGCGCGAGTTTGTCTCCAAGCCCCGTCCCCGATTTATGTACAAACACGTAAGTCGTTCCGTGGAATTCAATCCGCGCTTCTAGTAATGGCAAATTCGCGTGCCCAAGGAACCAAATCCATGTACATATTGCTGCACGCCCAGGCATGTCGTTTTGAAAAGAACCTTATACACGAACCTGAAGAAATTTATTTGGTCATCAGTTGGTTGCTCGGAAACAGAAATTCCAGCGGTAAAAGTAAAAGTATTTCAAGAAATACTACATTTCTATTGTGGACGTTGGAAATGTCTTAGTTTTTCTCCAAATGCCGATGTGAAGCCAGCGAAATGACAATAGAACGCCCAAGCGAGACAAAATGCTTGCAACAACAGCGAATCATTGGACTACAGATGTTAGGCTGCGGGTAGTGGCGCCCCGCTACCGCATTTCCATGAAACGGAGTTTGAAGATGGATCCTTATTCATGCCAACCAAGCCTTTCATCTCTCTGGAGCAACTCAAATGGTGCCAGGCTTGTCTGATGGGCCGAGTATGCATCATAGACGGCACTGCACAAACGGGGAAGTGGGCAGTTATCCCACTCTGCGTGGTGGTGAGTTTCCTGACCCACACCAGTCATCAGAAATGAAGCGATCGAAATTGTGTGAGCGAAGGTGGGCATCTTGGGCAACATCTCGCGCCGGATGCCGTCCCCACCCAGGAAGGCAATTCATGTGAAGTCGCTCTCCGCAATTAGTTTATCAGAATAATTCTTTTGTGATTGAGGTAGCACGGCTTGCAAGCGCAAAGGTGGTACTATTCCTACGTGTGCAAAAGCGCAATATGGGCACCGGGGCCGTTTCACCGGTGCTCATATCGCTCGCTAGCAACGGTGGGTGTCTTCGCCCCCTCACGCGGCGTACTCTTTCGCATATTCTCTCCTCAGCGCACAGTCTCTGTCTTACCGTGATGAATCACACAGAGAAGCCCTTGATTCTAGTGTTTTGATAGTTTATCCTGCTTTTTATTATGCGCCCCTATACCACCTTCATTTTCGTGCAAAATACCCACAGATGTTCACTTTAAATGCGCCCATAGACCCACGCCCACCTCCGTACTCTTACGAGGCAGGTGGTAAAATTCAGGTAGCTGACATCTCCTATTCCCTCTTGCTTTCACGTTGTTTGGACATCCCTATAACCTCTGATTTTTTCCAGAAAATGGACAAGCTTCTGATGAATTTTTATTGCCTTTTTAGAAATAAAACGGCGTATTTTCTAGAGGCACCTTTCTAAAAACTACATTACTTCTGAACATCCTGATGGTTTCCTTTGAAAGGCTCGGTATAAGCGTGAGAACTGCGCAGCCTTTCAAGGCTTTCCAAACGGACACAAATCCAACAACATAAATCTTCATTCTATTTTGTACAGACATCACGAAATGATCACAGATGTCGCCGATTCCTTACGAATTCATTAACTGCCCTCCGTCGACGCAGAACGTCTGGTTCTGGAAACAGAGATGTTGAATCGGCATTTAGAAAAGCTAACTCCAATCTATCACGTCGGAACGCTGATTCCGTTTCTCTAAAAAAATTCTTCCAAAATTTTGTGTTCATAATATGATTGGATGCTAAAGTGTAACGCGGATATCGTAATTACAGACTTCACATGGAACCTGGCTTTAGATATCATCAAAAATGTCAAAAGCACACGCGTTATCGATTTTTTCAAAGACAAGCCATCGCCACGTGTACTACAGTTGGTCCGCAATTACGACATACTCGGCTGCGGGAAATAATGTATACAAAAGAGCTGTGCATTGTCCCTCGGAATGAAAAAGAATCCACGTTTTTATGATCGTAATTATTTATTTTATCATGGATCGTATTTGTGAAAAATACCACACATAAAGATATAATGATTGTAAAAAGTTTTTTTTGTAAAAACTAATAAGCTCAAAGGTATCCGGTAGAGAGTTCAAAAGAGCTTCAATGGACTAGCAAAAGACAAGGTTTTTCAAGGCTACATATCACTCCATAATTCCAGAAAGCCCAGGTGATCTGAATCCCATAGAACAACAGCGCTCCAGAGTTTCACGTTTCAAAAAACGAATACTCCATTTGCAGTCAGGAAAGGGTAAGTGGAGCTCAATAAGGATATGCAAAATATCCATGGAGATCCAAGTAAAACTGTTCTCTGATCTCCAATCCGCCTATATGGGCATACAGTACACGGTTTTGATCTACACT